CGGGTCGCACACCTTTGTGGGCAGCTGCTAGCATGGGCCATGGATCAGTGGTTGCTCTTCTCTTATTCTGGGGATGTTACGTTGATAGCATCGATAACGAGGGCAGGACAGTTTTGAGCGTGGCTGCTGCTCAAGGCGGCACAGATGTAGTAAAACAATTATTAGATCGAGGTACAATATTTCTTCTTTTCCAGATTTTTTATCTTTTTTTTTTTCTTCTTTTTTTTTCTTTTCCAATTAATTTCATTATTAGATTACAAACAAGATGATTATAAAATTTTTGATATTTTAGGCTTAGATGAACAACATAGAGACAATTCAGGTTGGACACCCTTACATTATGCAGCATTTGAAGGTCACATCGACGTTTGTGAAGCACTACTAGAAGCAGGAGCCAAAATTGATGAAACTGACAATGATGGAAAAGGTGCACTAATGTTGGCTGCACAAGAAGGACATGCTGCATTAGTTGAAAGACTGTTAGAACAGCATGGAGCGCCAATCGATCAACATGCTCATGATGGAAAAACTGCTCTCAGGTAACTTAATAATGATACTCTAATATATATTTTGTATAAATTTTATTTTTTAAGATATCTTCATAATAATCAAAAACTATTACAGACTTGCAGCTTTGGAAGGTCACTACGATACTGTCAGGGTACTATTAGCTCATAATGCAGATGTGAATGCAAAAGATGCTGATGGAAGAAGCACTCTTTATATTCTTGCTCTAGAAAACAGATTGGCAATGGCAAGATTTTTGTTGGAGCATGCCCGAGCAGATGTGGAAAGCAGAGATTCAGAAGTAAATGAAAAATTTTTATAATAATTTAAATCTTATAAAAATCATAGAAAAATTTACAATCTTCTTCAAAATAGACTTATTATTCTATAAAAATATACCACTAAAAATTTTTGTTAAATTGAAGATTTTTATTTTTATAAGTCGATTTTTATATCGTTTTTAATATTTTTTTATTTCCTTTCATGTAATTTTATATACAATATTATATTAACACATATAATATTATTAATTAAAAAATTTTTAACATTTTATTATTTATTTGAAAAAATTAAGTTGAAAAAATCTACAAATTTTTATGCAATTTAATATTGCTTCTAGAAATAAACTATTCAGAAGTTTTCCAACATTCGATTATATCATATTTTAATTTATATCATAATAGAAATTTTATTTATATGAAATTATTTATATGAATATGAAAATTAGAATATTTATATTTTATTATAATATATTATTTATTATTATATTAATATGAAATTATAAATTTAATATAATATTACAGGGACGAACTCCTCTGCATGTAAGTGCTTGGCAGGGACATGTCGAAATGGTAGCTTTGTTATTAACAGAAGGTAGTGCCAGTGTAAATGCTTGTGACAATGAGAATAGAACTCCTTTACATTCTGCAGCCTGGCAAGGTCATGCAGCCATTGTCAGATTGCTCCTTGAACATGGAGCAACTCCTGATCATACTTGTAATCAAGGAGCAACAGCTTTAGGTAATAATAATAATCAAATTTCATCTGTAAAATAATAATAAAACTAATATAAAATAATTATTAAAAATCAATATTAATTAGGTATTGCCGCACAAGAGGGTCATGAACACTGTGTACGAGCACTTTTAAATCACGGTGCTGATCCCAGCCACTCTGATCATTGTGGTCGAAATGCTATCAAAGTAGCTGCCAAAAGCGGCCATGATACAGTAGTAAGATTGCTCGAGGAATATTCAGCTAATCAACGAAGTCTAAGGCCTGGCATCAATGGAGGTTCATTTATTTATTATAATTTTTATTAATTCATTTTTTTATTTGAAATTGCATTATTGTAATATACTGTTTATTATAATATAGGCGGAAGTAGTAGTGCTACTTCAGTAACATCAAATTCGACAGCAGAAACAAAACCATCATCCGCAATTTTGAATCCCCTTTCAACTCAATACAGTCCGGCAGAGTCGCCGGATTCGACAAAAAGAAGAAGCTGCGTGTCTCTGGGAAATAATTCCAGCAACAGTAAATCTAGTAGCAATCTAACCGGTAGCACAAAAAGCGATCAGGGAAAATTTAACCAGAACTCGATGGTGAATCAGGTAATAAAAGTAGGTAACAACATTGTTGCTTTTTTTATTAACTCTCTTGTGTAATTTAAGGAATCAATTCAAATTCTCCGATACCACTTCCAATCGATTTTCATCATCTCTTTCTGACTGCATGTTTTGTTCATTCCGTTTTTATGCACTCGTGTACAGATCGTTTTTTTTTTTTTTTTTTTTAACTAGATCACTCTTTGTACGAAGATTTTGTTTAACTGTTATCTCAAACAATCTTATTTCACATTTAAAACTTTCGATTGATTCTTATTTAAAGAATCCAACTCGATCTATACACGCTACGAATTTGATTCTCATGGGAACCCCGCATCATCTGACTGCTATAATTTTAGACACCATTATCTTTCACGCAACAACTGCAACAATGCTCGAGGGGAGCCAAGAGTCGTCCACTCAGCAAACTTTTATCACCTCTGAAAAGTGAACCGCAAAGTCCTATCTACGCATCACCACCTCATTCGCCGTTAAGTGACAGCCTGATACCCTATTCGCCAACAAACACAAGTCCACCTAGTGCTCAGACCGCGGCGAATGTGATACAAAATCAACTTGGAGTATCATTGTTGACTGGAAATCAAAATATACCATATAAAGTGCAGATCGGAGGATATAATCATACATCGGCTATTTACGAACCGATTAATATAAAGACCGAGATCATCGATAAAAATGAAATTAGCAAACCATTTGAATTAACGAACGAAATGTTAGGTTTAAGCGTGACAAAAGACAAAAAAAATGGACTTGATGAAAAAAGAAATTCAGCCGACACTCATTTCACTAGAGATACTCATATGAGAATAATATTGGGTAACAGTGGTGCTGGTGTTGGCAGAAGCGTAAAACATGCCTCAGATCATACACCTGCTAGGTAAGATTTATTTTAATAAAACTATTTGTTCAAATATTTATAAAAATTTCTTTATATGTATTGCTTTAAATATTAATTATGAATTGCAAAAAATTTCTAAAATATACTGAAAAAATTATATAATTATAAAAGATTAAATAAAACATCTTTTTAAGATAAATAATTTCTTTTTACAGTGCAAGTAATGCAAAACCAAAGCGTAATGGTTTGGTTTCCAATCCAGCCATGAGATTAGTAGCAGGTGTTAGGAATGGAATTGAAAATGCAACTAATAGAAACAAACCTATCACAACGCGAGTTAATGGATTTCAGTGGAAGGCTGAGGCACGAAAGGAAACACCTTTGTAGGGACAGGTATTATATAATTTCACTTTTGAAGGTCACAATAAAAGTCTAGGAAAACAAATATTTTACATAATTGTAAAGAAGGAATAAATATTAAAAAAAATCTTCAATTCATATAATATTGTACAAATATTTATAATAATGTATTTATTATATTTTTCTTTGAAATGCACTGCATAATTTTATTATGCTTCACAAATATACATAATTATAAATTCCATTCAATCACTTACTTAGTATTAGAAGTTAAATTTTTTCATCCCTTCAAGTTTCATTTAATTCAATTTTAATTTAAAAATTATTGAGTGATAAATTTTTAAATTATTTTTTTTTAAAACAATATTTGAATGATATATGTATATACAATATATATATTATATATATTAATATTATATTGTGTATATGATATGTGTGTGTGTGTGTGTGTATATATATACACATATATATATATACACACACACACATATAATATATACATATATATTCATAGGATATTGATATATTATAGGATATATTATAGGATATTGATATATTTGTGATACATGATATTTTGCAGGCCAAAACAAACATAACAGTTGATATATAAAAATATCAATTGAAATTTATTTATTAAATTATAAATAAAATGAAGATGGAAAAAGATAGTAGTGTAATTGAGATTCATCTGTTTTTTTTTTGTTTTGCTTTATCTAATGCAAACTTAAATTGCTTAATAAATAAGTTTCAATATTTTTATATATCAAATTTTATATTTGTTTTGACTTCTTGAATTTTGAAAACTTTCTAAAAATGTTCCATAAATACATTAATATCCTATATATAAGGAAATAGAAGTAGCTAATCCTTATACACTGTAATTACAGTGTTCAATTTTGGAAGTGGTATCAGTAGATTTTTTATATTCCTTTTCTACTAAATTATAACGTATAAATATTTTGCATGATCAGAAATAATTCTTATATAATTTTAGATTTTACGATAAAATTAGAAATTTAGCACAAAAAACATGAGTTTTTAAGAAGATTTAATGTTTTAATCTTTTCAGAACCATCTCACTAATCAATACATTTAAGTGTGTTGTGTTAAGTTTATTGTTTACGATAAAATGTTCGAAAATAAAAACAAAGAATTAATTAAAATCTTAATTTTTTGTAATATAGGTTGTATTCTCAGAAACATCTCAGCGGGATACTGGAATCCGTTATTGCGGCTGGCGAATTGTAATCACCAAAAAGCGGAAGTCAATAAATAAATTTTTCTCTTTTTATTTGAGCAAAATCAAATTACCTCACATGAAAAAATAGATTAAAAAAATAAAAAGAATTGCAGTCAAAAGGAAAATAATATAAAAATAAAAATTGCGTAATATAAAAAAAACCAAATATTAAACAGTATAGAAAAATATGTAGATCTAGATATGTAAACTTTACGAAACGTGACTTTGTATAAATGTAACGTTAATAAAATTCTTTATTGATCTCACTAATACTTCATATAAACAAAAAAAAATGAATTAATTATTGAAACCTTTAAAATTTAAGTAATTATGATTTTAATGAAAAAAGATGATATATTATAAAATTTTTTTCTTCAGAAGACTGGATGCAAATGAAATTCATAATGTGATGTGAATGATGCAGCATTGTAAAGATATGTATAAATTATATTAAACGATTAAAAAAAAAATATAGCATGATAATGCAAACTCAATTACAAATACGTAAAATTATGGCCTGAAAATTGATAAAAACATGTGTAAATACACATCTTTTATGTATTGCACGATCGTATTTATTATATTGTAATAGATGCAAAATAAATAAAAAGTAAAATATCAATGTTATTTATTTATTTACGTTATATAAAGATCCTCTAAAGCACCTTTAAATAATTCAATAATAAATTTATTAAAACAATTTTTTCTAAAACGAGTCTAGTTATAGATGAAACTAAATTTATCTTATACATTATATCATGATATGATTCCATCTATCTTCATACCATATAAAAGAGTCATAAATACATTCATTGTCAAAAGATATCTCTTAAGGTAATATCTTCTATTTTTAAGAAATGTTTCATCCACATTCCTAATATATTAGATAAAATTGTAGATATTATAAATAGTAATTTGTTTTTAAAAATTTTATAAGGAAAAAAAAAAGAGGAATTCTGTTTTATCATATTTTCAGATAAGAAATATTATCTTTTATATATAGAATATTCTTTAAAATTTTGCATTATTAATATTTATGCAAAAAAAAAATAAACAAGTTTAATGATTTTAATATATTAAAATACTACAATATAGTGAAATAACAAAGATATAAAATAAAAATATAAAATAAAATATTGATAAATTAATATAAAATGAATACTTTTAAAAAAATATTAAAACAAAAATTAATATTAGGAACAATTATTGGTGTATGTGCTGGAATTTTATTAGGATTTCTTCTTAAAACTTTTACTCTTCAACCATGGTCCAAACGAGATATAATGTATCTAAAATTTCCTGGAGAACTATTCATGAGATTAATAAATTGCTTAATACTACCTCTTATAACATCTAGTATAGTGAGTGCTACTTGCAACTTAAAAAAATCAGGTTAATCAACTTAAATACAAATTGATTTAAATTGATTTTTTATTTACTAGCAAATAAGAATTTTTTTTTACATAATAAAAATTTTTTAAATATATATAGGTCATATTGGAACAATGGCATTATATTACTATATTACAACAACACTACTTGGAATTGTATTAAGTGTTACACTTGTTCAAACAATAAGACCTGGTGATTTACTTAAAAATAAAAATATCATATTACAAAATGCAACCAAATCATTTATAACAGTGGATACAATTTTAGATTTATTTCGGTACTTTATTCACAATATTAGTCAAATTAGTCTATTTTATGCTTTTATCTATTAAATTTATTTTTTTATTTATATTACAGAAATTTCATACCAGAAAATATAGTGAGTGCATGCTTATTTCAGGTAATAACATTTTATGTTTTTATTTTTCACATATAATTAATTTAATTTAAACAACAAAAAAAATAAATAAAATATTTTTAGTATCAAACTGTATTAGAAAAATCAAAAAATGAATCAGGTATGTAATATAATAATAAAGAAAAATTAAATTTATAGAACTTAAATTAAAACTTAATTTCTATTTTTTAGTACCAATCGATGAATGGGAAATAAATCATATTAATATAGCAGGCACAAATGTTTTAGGATTAGTAGCCTTTAGTTTAATTTTGGGACTTGCAATTGGAGATATAGGTGTTAAAGGAGAACCTTTAATAAATTTCTTTCAGTCTTTATCAGATGTAATGATGAAAATTATGAATTGGACAATAATGTAAAATTATATAGTCTTAAGTATTTAAACAAAAGAAATAAGTTTTTATTATATGCAAATATTCATTTTGTAATAGGCTTGTACCAATAAGTGCATTATTTCTTATTTCTGCAAAAATTCTTGAAGTGGAAGATTTTAATAATGTAATAAAACAACTTGGAATTTATATTTTAACCGTTTTCAGTGGTTTACTCATACAAGGTTTAATATTACTTCCTTTATTATATTTTATATGTACTCATCAATCTCCATACAAAATTATAGTTAAACTTGGACCAGCTTTTGTCACAGCATTTGGTACATCATCAAGGTAACCAATTAAAATAAATATATTTTTACTTTTATTATAAAATTATAAATATTTAACAACTATATTTTAGTACAGCTACAGTTCCAGTAACAATATCATGCTTAAAACATATTGGAATACCTTCTAAAATATCTAGATTTATTGTACCAATTGGTGCAACTATAAACATGGATGGTATAGCACTATATGAAAGTATTGGTGCAATTTTCATAATTCAATTGCATGGGTTACAATTTTCATTATTTAAAATTATTATAATCTGGTTTGTATTTTTATAAATTAATTTGTAATTAATAACATATTAATATTAAAAAATTTTGCAGCATAACATGTACTCTATCATGTATTGGTGCTGCTGGCTTACCAAGCGGTGGTTATGTAATGTTAATAATGGTATTAAATTCCGTGGGAGTTCCAGTAGAAGATGTTTCATTAATTATTGCGATTGATTGGTTTGTGTAAGCATCTTGTGATGCATTTATATAATTTTAAATATCTATTCATAAAAATTAATATAAATTTAATTTTTAGAGATCGTTTTAGAACTACCTTAAATATTGTGGCGGATGCATTAGGTGCTGGTATAATAACTCATTATTACAAAAAAAATACGCAAACTTCCATTCAAGAAGAAGAAATGGAATTATACATTTCCACATAACATGTATTATAATGTAATAATAAGCTCGATTTTTAATAAGTCAAGAAATATTTAAATATTTAAAATATAAAAATAATATTAAATCATAATAAAAACTTATATAATAAAAAAAATTATTATAAATTCATAATATAAAAATTAATCATTATAAAAGAAAATAATAACTTATTAATAAAAATATTTTTATATTTTAAATATAAATTTTAAATATATATATATTTTTTACAACAGTAAATTATTAAAATAAATTCAAAATTGAATATATTAAAAACTTAGTATATTGTAGGTACAAATTTTCATTAAAAAAAATTCAAATTATTTGCAATAATATATATTATTATAATTACTATAATTATGATTATTTCAAATAAAATATAAACATTTTACAATTGTCTTTTATACTTTTTAATAAATATATAAATATTCCTAAATTCTAAAAATTTAAATTATATTGAATTTTTCTGTTAACTATCATATAAATAACTTTAAGTATTCTAAAATACATTAAAAATCTACTGAGAATGTTTCGATATAATATAAACATATCTATATACAACATATTCTATGTTACTTACTGGTGAGTAAACCTAACTTTTTTGACGCGCTGCTGCAGCGTCTCTTGTGACATTTTCTAGAAGTGAAAAGTCTATCTATGTGAATACTGCATGTATAGGAGAGAGATTTCAGAATGGCGACTGTCTTTACTTAGGAGAGTACTTATTCCCGCCCAGAAATTGTATAATTAACGTGTGTCTTTGGAAACTTCCATGTGTTTTTCATCACATATTCACTGAAAATGATAATAGAGAATCCGGATCAATTCAAGGCGTGGCTCACTGCCGTCTTGGAGCCACTGTAAGTAGGCCAGCTTGTCCGAGTACGGTTTTAAGTGTATGTGTATGCATTTGATGTTGTAAATGGCCGTACATGTGCTATGCTTTACACCCTATGCAGAATTATATTTACATGTATTACCCTGCCTGCCCTTCAATGATCATCGATAGATCATGTTTGACACTGTTCCTTCGCCGAATTTATTATGCTTTTAATAATAAGTAATCAAATAATAATGTGTCTAATTTCTAATATATTTCATATCTATTTTAAAGCGAATATATTTCGAATAATTGAACGTAGAATATTCAATTCTATTGCGTTTTAACTCGCAACATGAATTTTATATATATTTCTTTTAAGTATCATGATAAAAATATGTTTTTAATTTACTAATCATCCTACATAAACAGCTTAAGCAATGACTTATTCTAAAATGATTTGTTGACAATATTGCTTAATTAAAACATTGTTTATGCTTAAAAAGGAATCGATATTTGAAATATCTATTTCTTTCATCAATAATTTTCATTGAACAAACTTTAATAATCAAACTAAAATACTTAATACTTAATAAAATAAAGAATGCTTTAATTAAGTAGAAATGTTAAAAACATCAAAAGTATTTAAAATTATATATACATTGAATTATATTTTTTATATTGTAAGAAATAATTTTTTTATTGATATAAATTAATTGATAATATGTAACTAACTTCATTTATTTATTTGTAATTTATTGATTTAGTAAAGTTTAACCTTTTGTTTTACATTTTACAACTTGTAAACATGATATAATTTTATAGAATATTACAAATAACAAAATATATATTTGCTATATAATTTATTATATTATCATATTATTATATCTAATAATTATTTATTACATAAATATGATTATTATTTAAAAACTTTATTATATAAATTAATATACAATTTATGTATTTATTATATAACATCATATGAATGTCTTATTGTTAATATTGTAATTATTGTTTAAAATATTAATATCAATATAATTTTTCAGTTGTGATGCAGATCCTGCAGCATTAGCAAAATATGTATATGCTCTTGTTAAGAAGGACAAAACATTGGAAGAATTACGAGGTGGAATGGTTGAACAACTTGATGTATTTTTACAACAAGGTACATTTTAAAATATTAGATTTAAGTGACATTTAAAAATTATTTAATTTATTTTATTTTATGATATATTTTTTATAGAAACAAAAAATTTTGTGGAATTGTTATTTAAAACATTAGAAACTCAAGAATATGTTCTTCCACCTCCAAAAAGTGATCCAGATGGTGGTGGGACACCACCAGGTATAAATCCACCACCGCCTGCATTAAACACAGAAAAAGTAACTGAAAGTACAATTCCAATTACTTCTATGAATACAAATCCTCCTGCTCCATTACAAATGAATGGATCTGCACCTATGGCAATAGGCAAACGTGAAACTAGAAAATCAGATTCTGAAAAAGTTGATAAAGAAAAAGAAAAACGTTCTAGGAGTCGGTGAGTTTCAAATTATATATTAATAAAATGATAAAATATTTATATAATTTTTTAAAACATAATCTAAATATTTTAGAAGTGGTCGAATGAGATCACGAACAAGATCTCGTTCACGTTCATGGGA